TGGTCAGAGCCGTTCTCACCCCTGGCCTCACAGGAAGGGTTTGTGTGGTGTTGAGCACATGCTCTTTTACCTGCTTTAAAACCAGGTGTTGAGTGTCCATCCTTTGTTGCAGGCATCCAAACATTCTCAGGCTTTATGGTTATTTCCACGATGCCACCAGAGTGTACCTAATTCTAGAATACGCGCCTCTTGGAGCTGTCTATAGAGAACTTCAGAAGCTGTCCAGGTTTGATGAGCAGAGAACTGCTACTGTAAGTGTTCATTTATTGTCCAGACCAGTTCCACGTCCTCTGCCTGTCCTGCATGCCGTGTGCCTTTCATTACAGTAGAGTGGGGTTTTTTTTTAATGCAGTGATAGCTTAATAGGATTGAATATTTGAAGTGGAAAAGTCAGTCATTGTACCATATATACAATTAAAATCAGGTACCAGGTAGAACATTGTGGCTGGTTTGTTTTCAAAGCTGTTTTTCTGTGGAAATGTATATAAAAAGCTGTCCCTTTTTTTTTTAATGAACTATTTTAGAATAGGTTTAGATATACAGAATAATTGTGAAGATAGTACAGACCTGTTTTCTCCTATTAATACACAATTTCTCCTATTAATATCTTACATTAGTGTGATACATAACTAATAAAGAAATATTGATACATAACTGTTAACTGAAGTTCATACTTCATTCATATTTCTAGTTTTTATGGTTAGACTAGGTTGATGGGTTTTTGAGAGGAAGATCACAGAGGTAAAACACATTCTCATGTCAAGGTTACACACTGACTTAGCCCTGTGGGTGCTGGCCTTGATCACCTGGCTGAGGTCGTGTTTGTCACCTCTCTCCCCTATAGAGTTCCTCTTTCTCCCTTTCCATACTGTGCTCCTTCCAAGGAAGGTACTATGTAGAGCCGCACTTAGGAGTGGGGGTTATTGTTATACTCCTATGGGGCAGATATCTACATAAATTACTTGGCATTTTTCTCCTTATGTATTTACTCAGTCATTTGTTAATATGGCCTCATCAGTATTTTATACTTTGAGTTACAGTCCAATACTACTTTATTTTGTTGCTCAGATTGTTCCAGCTTTGTCCACTGGGAGCTCTTTCACATGGTTCCTATGTTTTTTGACATCCCCCATCATTGTGGGTGTGTGGTTTTTTTAAAATACGGGAGGAAGGGAGAGGGATAGAGAGAAACATTGATGAGAGAGGAATGTTATCGATTGGCTGCCTTCTGCACGTCCCCTACTGAGAGTCCGAAACCCGGGCATGTGCCCTGACTGGAAATTGAACTGGTGACCTCCTGGTTTATGGGTCGATGCTCAACCACTGAGCCACACTGGCTGGCGTGGTATTTTTTATTTTATTTTAAGCTTTCTGACACTACAAGATGCTCTAGCCTCATCTTGCATATTTCCTGTCCCAGTCCTAGAATCACCATTTCTCCCAAGACCTCCGGTTTTTTTTATTGGAAGGTGTTATTAGAAATCATGATCTGGGTGCTGGGTGTGCTCATTGCCATTGGGTGTCATTACTTCTAGGCTGTCAGCTGACAGAGCAAGGACACGTGTGTAATCTGTGTATATACATGTACCCGTCGGTATTTCTGTATTTACCCACCTGTATCGGTATTAAGCAGAGCGCAAGTCCGTTGCCGTGGGGATCACTCTGTCCTCGCTTTGCTGTAACCTCCCACATGAGCACTGGGAAACCTGGGTCCCACCATCTGCTATCCATTTGTTTAGTTACTCGGTGCTGTGTACATGGGTGGTGGTATCTGAATGGTTAACCAGCCACCCTGTGGGAAGCAATTAGTGTGCATTTAATTCATCTGTATCTTTTCAGGGGCTATCGCTCATTTCTTTCTATTGATGACTAATATTTCATTGTATGGATGTACCTCAGTTTATCCCTTCATCTACTGAAAGGCATCTTGGTTGCTTCCAGGTTTTTGGTGATTATGAATAAAGCTAATATTTGCATGTGGGTTTTTCAGGGATGTAAGTTTTCACATCCGCTGGGTAAATACCTAGGGGTGCAGTTGTTGGCTTGTGTGGTGAGAGTATGCTCAGTTCTGTAGGAAACTATTAAACTGTCTTCCAAAGTGGCTGCACCCTCTTTGTGTTCCCACCAATGAATGAGTCCCTGTTGCGCCTCAGCCTCACCAGCAGTGGGTATTGTGAGTTTTTTTGATTTTAGTCATTCTGATAGGTGTATAATGGTATGTCATTGTTTTAATTTGCTATTCTCTAATGCCATATGATGTTGAGAATTATTTCATGTGCTTATTTGCCATCTCTGACGTCTTTGAGGTGTCAGTTCAGATCTTTTGCTCATTTTTAAATTGTTTTTTTGGTCATCTTAATTGTTGAGTTTTAAGTTTTCTTGTATATTTTGGATACAAGTCCTTTATCACATAGGTGTTTTACAGACGTTTTCTCCCAATCCGTGGCTTGCCTTTTCATTTTCTTATTTGTGTTTTTTTGCAGGGTAGAAGTTTTTAATCCTAAAGTCCAACATATCAGGTTTTTGTTTTGGGGTGGTGTCCCCTGTCCCCCCATGGACTGTGCTTTTATTTGAGTGAAATTTTGTGTTTGAAGGAGTTGAGTCTTAATTTGGGCTGTTTTTTATTGAATCAGCAGATGACGGGCCTGGTGGTTACTTTGTTTTGTCTGTTTCTTGGTGGAGCTCTGTGGGTACCATGTACACTAATTTTCTTTTTGGCATTGATTTAAATGACATTAAATTCATCTTGTTTTACTTGTACCATCTGAAATCCCAAGCACTGTTGGTGAGTGATCCTCTGGTCTTTTTTTTTTTTTTTTAAATATGTTTTTATTGATTTCAGAGAGAGGAAGGGGTGGGAGTGAGAGAAACAATGATGAGAGAATCATTGATCAGCTGCCTCCTGCACGCCCCCTACTGGGGATCAAGCCTGCAACCTGGGCACATGCCCTGACCGGGAATCGAGCTGTGACCTCCTGGTTCATCGGTTGATGCTCAACCACTGAGCCACGCGGGCCAGGCAACCTTCTGGTCTTGTCTCTGCAATGAGAACATGCTATTTTAATCTTAAATGATTGCTCTTCAGATAAGTAGAAATAGATCTGTTTTATCTGCTCTTAAAATGTTAGCTAACTGAATTAGTTTGTTAGTTAATTAGAAATTCATACTTATACCGCTCAGTTTTGTTCACTCCAGATGGAGTTCATTTTGGTGTGAGCAGATAGCTATTTGAAAGAAATGGAAGACTGGTTCTTCCTACGATTCTGTGGTCGCACACCTGTTCTCCTTTTCTGATGAACTCAGATGTTAGGGGACCACAGTGCATGTGGGAGGTGTGGACTAGGTTGTGCCCCAGAGCTCTGCTTGACTAGGAGCTTCTTGTCTTGAATTGAGCAGGAAAACCCACTGCCCTCTGGAATTCTAATGTAGAAGAGTTTCTGTCTTCACTTTCAGTTTATTAGGGTCTAAATTTTGGTCTGGCTTTTGGCTGAAGCAAATGAAAAATGTCTTTTCTGACAATGACATTGGTTTGGTTTCTACCCATTTGTTTAGCAAACCTTTATGGTGTAGAATAGCGTTCAATCCTGTTTAGCAATTGCTTTTGGAAAACAAAGCCTTCTCAAATTTTAGCCAGAGCTAAATATATTATTTCAATAACAATTCTTATCTATATGTTAAAGCAAATTCTGGACTTGCTAAGTTTTTCTTTAGTTGAGATGGGAGCAAAACTAACAAAAGGACTGACTGGCTTGTGTACTCAAGCGGACTAATGAATTAGTTTATCCTGAATTTAACATGTCAGTACATCTGCGTCTAGTTTCTGTTTATTGTTCAGGATTATTTCCCCCGATGTTCTTAGTGTAAATGTGCAGCTTCAAACTAATCCTTTTGTTGTACATTGATCTTGGTTTAAAAAAAATGGGAATGGACTGTACTTGATTTTTTTGGTCTGTTTTTAAAAAATTGTTTATATCTGACTCCCTCATTTGTACTGGTTGTTCAGTACTGTCTTAATTGCTGGGCCATAAATTGTCATGTGGGGTGTAGTTATAGCCCATCACTGTTTTTCCTGTCTTTCGATGTTACATCTGCTATGCTAGCAAATAAATAACTGCGCACTGAGGAACTCGTATTTCATGCTGAACACTAATTTGTTTCAGTTGTTTGTTTTTTTTTTTGAGTTATCAATTGGTTCTAGCTTTGCTTTAAAAACCTACAAAATGTTTTTATGTTAAACAAGTCTGTGTTGGGTTTTCTTTCAGAAGAGATGTCTAAAATTAACTTGTTATATAAAATCTAAAACACCGATTTTTAATATTTTTTTTGATAGTATATCACAGAATTGGCAAATGCTCTGTCATATTGCCACTCAAAGAGAGTTATTCATAGAGACATTAAGCCAGAGAATCTGCTCCTTGGACCAGCTGGAGAGCTTAAGATTGCAGATTTTGGGTGGTCTGTACACGCCCCATCCTCCAGGTATGTAACTTTAGAGGTGGGGCTTGTTGGGGTTAGCAAAAGCCCCAGTGGCTAATAATGAGCTAAATAGTTAAGTACCTAAGCATAAGTGTGCTGAACTGGGGCAGGTAATTGACACAATACTTTGTAGTAATTTAGGGCCTGAGAATAAAATAGTGTCTTCAAGGACATTTTTATTCTGCAACCACTTGGACTATTTGTTGTGTCCTAGGCCTGGGGCTAAGGATGTTTAATATCCTTAGAGGCTAATGAATGGGACAGGTAAGTAAACAAATATGACAGAGGAGAGGTACAGGATGTAGAGGGAAGTAACGCCTGACATAATGGTGGGTGGAGGCAAGTTCTAGGGGCAGCCCTTGCGAAGGTCTAGAGCCTAGAGCCGAGGGCACAGCTTTGCGGGAACTCCAACCACCACGTGGGTTTGGAGGGAACTTTCCGGGTGGTGGTTAAAAGTTGCTCTTTGGTCTGCTGTCATCAACAGAATAGTCCTTTCTTATCCCCTCTTAAAGCTAAAGCAGAGAGTTCAATCTAAGTAAACAATTTAAATCTTAAGTTAACTTTGCAAATGAGCTAAAATATTCTCCATTGTTTTAAATTTAATTTGGGTTTAAATAAGCTTTTGAAACCACATGTGTAGAGCATTTAAAAGCATACATTTACTAATAGAAGTTTGTCCACTTTGGGGTAGAGCTTAAAAAATTAAAGGTAGATTACTTTAAAAAATCTAGTTTATAAAGAAATTGTATAGCCTAAATAGGTGGCATGAGGTGGGGTGAGCTTTGTTTTTGTTACCCACCAGTTGTAATTGTTTCTAGGCTTTGTGGCATCACAGGGCTAAAACTGTACCTTAACTGTCCAATGGTGTCATTGTGGTAGGAAAGATAACTGATAACTTACCCTTTTCTGGAAAGGACATTGATGTAAATGTTGATGGTCACTTCACCCTACCTCTCAAACGTTAATAACCGTAGTAAGGGCTCCCAGGTCGTTGGTGCTGTCTCCCTCATCTCAGTGGTGGTGGAGAGGGGTTAGCTGTCGGGAGATCTGGCTCCTTAATCCCCAGTCACCGTTCATGTGAACACTTGTGTGCTTGCTGGGCTCTAGGCATGACCCAGCATAAGCTTTTTGATGGCAAATAATAATTAATATAAAGCAACCAAAGCCTGCACGGTCTTTGCTCCAGGTTTGTCTGCCACCACCAGCTTATCTTCAGCCTTTGGAAACTCACTCAAACATAAAGAGACGCTGAATTGGTCCAAGTTGATTGCTCACCTGACTGACCAGAGCCTACATTCAACAGTTACCATTTTGCCATATGGGCTCTCTACTTTTTTTGGTGAACCTTCCAAACTAAGTTGCATACATCATGATGCTTTGTCCTTGGAGCACTTCATCGTGCATTTTCTAAAAATAAGGACATTGTCCTGTCTAATCCCAACCATCATCACTCTTAAAATTAGTAACTGTGGTGATAGCTAATATTTAGTCAATGTTCAGATTTTTCCAATTGTCTATAAAACTTTACAGCTGTTTTCTCTCTTTTTTTTAAGTCCTCAGCCAAGGATAGATCTATATCTATATCTATATATCTATATATCTATATCTATATATAATTTAAATGTCTTGATTGACTACACAGAGAGAGAGACAAACATCAATGATGAGTCATTGATTGGCTGCCTCCTGCATGCCCTCTACTGGGGATAGAGCCCGAAACCCAGGCATGTGCCCTGACTGGGATCAAATGCTGATCTCCTGGATCCTAGGTTGATGCTGAACCACTGAGCCACGCTGGCTGGGTTCAAGGATATTTTTTTCTCCATTGCTTTTTAGAGAGAGTAGAAGGGGGTGGAGGGTGGGGAGAGAAAAACATAGATGTGAGAGAGACACATTGACTGGTTGCTTGGGGATTGAACCTGCAACCCAGGTACGTGACCTTGACCGGGAATCAAACCCAAGACCCTTCGGTTTGTGGGCCAGTGCTCCAACCACTGAACAATACCGGCCAGGGCTACAGCTGTTCTTTTGAATCAGAATCTAACCAAGGTCCATGAATTGTACTTGGTTGTGTCTCTTTGGTCTAAACTTAGACCAGTTGCCCCACAATTTAAAGTGGATTTTTCTGATTGTGGTGTCACTTAGCTTTGTCTATCCTCTGTATTTGCTGAAAACTGGAAATTGGGCCAAAGGGCCTAAAGAATATTTTTGGCAAGAATATTTCATAGGCCACCCCCCAGTGTTAGTTTCTCTTGTACCAGCGATGTATCAGAAGGGAGCACGTGCTTTCAGAGTGGGACAGTTTAGTTTCTTTTACTGTCACCCGGCTCTTAAGCTTCTTAGCATATCTGTCATGTAAAAAATATAGAATGCTAAATTTTATTCACAGAGAACTTTGCATGGCTGCCTTTATATAGCAGTGATACTTTAAATTTTTATTTTACATCATTTAAGGAGTTTCTGGAGTTGGAACAGATTTGGGATGTGGCTTGCTTGTGAGCTGTGTGATCTCGCACAGCTCCCTCAGTCTGTTTCCTGTCTAAAAATGGGGATTTGTAATAGCACCTGTCTCATAGCACAGGATCTGGCCTGGGAAGAGCACTCGGTTGATGTTAGTGTAGTTGTTGATGATTTGTAGCAGCTGTTATGATCACAGAAACCAGTGCGCCAACCTGCACCTCCGTCGTTTCCAGGAGAACCACCCTCTGTGGCACCCTGGACTACCTGCCCCCTGAGATGATCGAGGGCCGCATGCATGATGAGAAGGTGGATCTCTGGAGTCTTGGAGTCCTTTGCTATGAATTTTTAGTTGGGAAGCCTCCTTTTGAGGCAAGCACATACCAAGAGACCTACAAAAGAATATCGCGGGTAAGACACAACCGGAAGGGACCTATCCCCTGTGTTAGAATCCTTTCTGTCATTATCAGCCTTCCCTTTAGGCTGTGATCTGAGTATCGGTACTGTTCTCTCTAAACCACATTTTGTGATCACCTGTCACTTATACTCTAGGTTGAATTCACATTCCCCAGCTTTGTACCAGAGGGAGCCAGGGACCTCATTTCAAGACTGTTGATGCATAACCCCCACCAAAGGCTGACCCTGAGAGAAGTACTGGAGCACCCCTGGATCATAGCAAATTCCTCAAAACCATTAAGTAGCCAAAAAACCAAAGAACCAACCAGCAAGCAATCTTAAGACTCTTGTAGGGGGAGGACCCCATGAGCCAAGGCTGCTGTGTCCATCGGTCAGAAACACACCCCTAACATGATCTTATTGCCAACTGCCTGCTTGCAATCTGCAGTGCTAGGAAAATACACAGAAAGTTCCACTTCAAGAAACGTGACACTCTGAAGCGCAAGTAGCCACGAGAATCGTGCTAACTTCACTGGTTTCATCACCCAGAGGCAAGTTCAGGTGCAGCCGCCTCGCAATCTGTCTGGACTAAGGCGTCCTTGTGGAAGGTGAACTCGGAGTTGGTTATGGGCAGAGTGGCCCCTCTGCCCTGACCCAGTCAGTTCAGGAGCTGTGCAATAACCTCCCAAGTACCTGAGTGTGTGTGTAACTTACTGGGTGGCCACACCTGATAAAGTTGTCAGAATGAGTATGTGATTCTTTTAAATGTTAAAATAAAGAGATGTGCATAGACTTTGTCCCTTCCGGAATGCGCTGTCTCCGTCAGGCCTGTTATCTAGTCCTCCTTGACCACTGTCTCGTGTCTGAGACTAAAACAGGAACACGTGCTCCTCCTCCATCGCAGGACTTGCTCGGAATACAGCCGAGATGTGTTTCAGCCAGTTCTAAGTGTTGAGGGCTCTTACAAATGTTTTTGATGGTTTATATATTGTTTTTATAAATACACTAAGACATATACAAAATGGTTACTCTTTTTGAAGTCCTCCTGTATAACTTTGAAATTAGAGTGTATCTCCCAGGAGTTCACAGTGCACTCTGCGCAGTGCTGGGCTAGGCCTGGGACTGGGTGGGAAGGCAGAAGGGCCCGTGCAGGGCTGTCAGGTCGAGGTTCTGGAACTGGCCTGGCCTGTGAACACCCCTCCATCCATTCTCTCACCCACCCTGCAGTGGTTGGGGACACAGCTTGGGAGGATGGCCACTGACCATGGGCAGATTGTGACAGGGCAGGTAGGAATTGGGAGAGGTGTCCAGATGAAGTGGCATCTGAGGCTTGAAGGGCAAGGAGGGTTTAAAGGTTGGAGGCTGCCCTGGCTGTGGGGCTCAGTTGGTTGGGCCACATGTTCCAAAAGATTGCTGGTTCGATTCCCGGTCAGGACATATACCCTGGTTGCGGGCTCGATTCCTGGTAGGGGGTGTGCAGGAGGCAGCTGATTGATGTTTCCCTCTTATATCTGTTTTTCTCCCTGACTTGCTAAAAATAAATTTTAAAAACCTTAAAAAAAAGTTGGAAGCTGGTGTGGTGAGAAGTCCCTGCTCCTGAGGGGGGGGGGACAATGGGAAACATGGCGTAGAAGTGGGGAGCTGTGGCTGTGTGACCACATGGCAGACGGTGTGCCCTCCCTCCATCCTGCTAACTGTCCCATGTGCCCATGAAGTGTTAGTTCCTTTTCTAGGCAATGCACATTCAGTACAGTGCTCAATGCCAGCCCAGCTCACGGAGCTGGACTCTTCAGTGGGTCCCCATCCTGGGGACTCGACTGCTGAGTTACTCAGCAGAAGTCCACAGAAGGGCATGCTCCTGGGATGGCGCAGGCGCTGAGCTGAGGGCTCTTTGGGAGTTCCCCGCAGCTGCAGGGGGTCAGGACATAAAGGGTCATCCACATCCCCAGCTGCCCGCCCCTGGGCTCTGACCCTAGTCTCGGTAGGATGTCAGAGCCCCATACATGGGGTGAGCTGGTTCTTTGCAACCTGACTTTCCAAGTGTGACCTGTCTGGATTCTCTGGTGGAGGAATGTTCCCTTAACCAAACCCCTCATTCCTCCCCGGACCAGGGATTTGGGTGTGACCAGTGTTCACTGTGGCTTATGAAAGTAGAAGCCCTTCAACACAGTTAGTAGAGGCTTCTTTCCAAGCTCCCCGTCACCTGGCTCCATGGCATACCTTGGGGGGCTAACTTCTATTACACTGGAGCTACAGCACATGTGTAAACTTGAAACATAAATGCAAAACATCGTTCGAGTACATGGTAACTCCACCTCTCACTGTCGGCCTGGAAATGAGCAGATGCCATGAAGAGCAGGGCTGCCCCGTTACTGGTCTCATTCGATGCCTCCTGATGTGTAAAGTTATGTATCTGTTTCTAGCTGCCAACATCAACTGCTCATCAACCAAAGATCGTGAACTTGACAGTGATGAAGGAAAAGGTGAAGTGTTGAACTTGCTGAGATCTAGTAGAGAAAATATGCTTTCATGGCCAACTTTCAATGCAAGAGACTAAACACCAGAAATCCTAAATATAAGGAAGCGGCCAACACCCACTTCCAGGTCAGCGCTGATGTAGTCACGGCAACTTCAAAACAGAGTAAAACCAGTGTCCAGTTAGCCTTGAGCTGACCCCACTTTCATCTTTCCAAAGTAATATTTCATGCACCCTCCACCCCAGCTGTAGTTAATGACTAACTTCACCTGTGACAGTAGCTGAACTTCTGTCGTCCCCCCAAACGATCCCACACAGCAGAGGAAACTGCTCGTAGCGGCGCACGGTACTGCTGCACATCGGCGTCGAGGATGGCTTACAGGAGAGCAATCAGTTTCGTAAACCTGACAAAAATGTTTCTCACGGAACTTAAGCTGTTCATTTTGTCAGGAAAAAAAAATGAGGCGAACGAGGGCTTTACATTTTTAAAATAGACCATCCATTTTATTCCTAGTTGCATAAAAACAGTGTAAACATAAGCAGTTTGTACATCTTGCTGGTGAACTGATATAATTAATGATCCTTTGATTTCCTGACTCTCCAGTTCTGCTGCTGTTTGACCACTGGCCAAAGGAAAGGAGTGGAGTACAGGCTTAGAAGAGACGCTATGGCTGTTTGATAGGATAATTCATTTTATGGCCTGCCCTTTCAGTCCACTCCCATCACTCCAAACAGAGTCAAAGTTTAAGATTTAAGTCCTTGCATAGGCATTACTAGGGGTCTGTTTGTTAGGGAGACTGGTATAGAAGGGGGTTAGGAGCCCAGCATTACTAGGGGTCTGTTTGTTAGGGAGACTGGTATAGAAGGGGGTTAGGAGCCCGAAGCCACTGGTTTAAATGAAGAAGAGACGAGATGGAAATGCTGGTCTGGTCCACATGAGGAATGAGCTCGCACTGGAATCGGGCACCTCGCTTGGCTGTGTGGATGTCCTGGAGCTTAGATCCCAGACAGGCAGTTCCAACTTTAAATTGGTAAAACCTTTTGGTACTGAGTTAATTGCTTTGAAAGGAAAAAAAGAAAAGAAAAAAGGAAAAGATCCACTAGAGATCTTACAAGTGGAGAATTTGTTCTATGATGATTTTTGTAAAACTTAAGTGATTGACATGGGTTACAAAAGCCAACTAGGGAACTGTCAACAGCCAGAGCATACAATCAGGACCATCAGATTATAGTTCCTTTAGTCTTCTGATTGTCCCAAATGTAATTAAACAGGAAAAAAAATTGAGAACCAGAAAGATAAACACAACTAACTCCCTTGACCAGGGCTGCAGGGCAGAACTGGTTAAGTTGGGGTCCCGAGTGCGGAGCCAGGGCTGAGTCTCACAGGAAGGGGCTCGTCCAGGACAGGCAACGGGGACAATTCCCTCCCTCCCTGGCTCCTGTTACTTCACAGTTGTCTTCCATTTATAGCAAGTGCCACTCACTTAGAGGATGATTCAAACTCTTTTTTTCACTGTCTATAATTTTAACTCAGTTGAAAATATAAGCAACACAATGTAAACACTGACGGTCTGGAATGTCTGGAGTTTGAGATACAGAGCGTTAGGCAAAGGCTGCCTCCGCTTTCCGTACATGCGGCATCCACAGTCCTGAGGACACGGGTGTCAGCAGCCAAAGGGACGCCATGACTACCGGACAAGCTTCCACACTTTGCCTAAGCAGAGACAAATGACCCTGACCTACTTTCACGAAATTTGAGAAAAACCACCTGAGGTAGGCCCCCCGCATGTCCGGATTTGAAGGGGTCTGGGGACAAAGGAAACACCAGAAATACTTGCTTTTCTTCTCCCCCGAGCAAGTGTAATGAAGGTGAAGGTGTCGGTGCTCATTTAGGTCCTGATTACATATTGTTAAGCCTTCAGTTCTGCTTCATTAGCTGCAGTACTGGCAGCTGTTCTGCAGAATACTGCATATTAAACCGAGGCAGCCCGACAACAAATATTGGAGGAAAGGGAATTTTAAAATTAGCCTAATGAATCGTTGCTCTTTAAGAACTTGAACAAAGATGAACCCCTGGGGTTTTTGCAGGAAAACCCTCACCAACAATCTTCCAGAGAAACATTTCGTAAGCTAACAGTTTACGATGGCATTTCAGATAATGTATACAAGCCCTATGATGAACAGCACTAACAAAATTTATAAAGCAAAACAATTACAATGATTCAGACACCTGAATTTTGCTGGCAAAAGTAAAACAAACATGAGAACATAAAAAGTAGCCCCTGACACCCCCCAAAACAAAAACAAACCCCCACCACCCTAAAACCAACCCAAACTGTGATTTAAAAGCAGTGGGTTTCCAAGCCCACAGCTGACGTTCATCAGGACTTGGCAGCTGGAGGTTTAAAAAATCCCACTTTCCGAAAATATCTGACAATCAAGGGCACAGAAACCAAAGTAATGCTGATTCTGACGGGTGCAAACAGCTTGTGGATGGTGTAGGCCACCACGAAGGTGCTAGTGCCCGCGGCCACTTTTGACTGTACCAGTGACTCTTTAAATCCAAGCTTAAGCAGGATGGCAGACATGTCCACGCCACTGGAGGGGAAAGAGGCAGAAACAAAATGAAACAATTATTACAGTAAGGCGTTGCATTAAGGCATCGACTTGGCTCTGAGATTTACTTTATTTTTAAAAACACGACGGCAGTAGCTAGGTGAATAAAAAGCCTTAGGACAGTAAGTTCTTATTCCCATAAAACCTCCCATGACAGTTAAGACAGACGCTTGCTGCTGTCAACGATCTTACCTGGAAACAACCGTGTAAAACATGCCCAGGGAGACCAGCGAGATTCCGATGTGCACTGACACGCCCACGGCTCCGTATTCTTGAAAAACTTTCTTCAGCTGCTGTGACTTGCTCAGCTTTTTCTCCTCTGTGTCGCCGCCTGTTGCTGCGGCGGTCCTGCCAGGGTCCTGTGCACAGACCAAAGGAGGGGAGACCCTCAGGTCAGGAGCAGGGATGTCGGTCAGCACCAGCTTTCACACGCAGTGTGCTCTTTCCTACCCACCGGGAACTCAGCTGCCCTCTTCTTACTTAGAGAGCTGAGGCTGCTGGATGCCCGCTTAGCCACTAAGTACGATGAAAGGCTGGGTACTAGGTATAGTGGGTAAAATGAGGGCCCCACAGATGTCCAAGTCCTAGTCCCCAGAACCTGTGACTGTCACCTTGCATGGCAAAAGGATTTTGCAGATGTGATTAAGTTAAGGATCTTGAGGTGGGCAGGTCATCCTGGATTTTCTGGGTGGGACCCGTGTAATCACAAGAGTCCTTACAAGTGAAGAGAGGGAGGCGGGAGGGTCTGAGGAGCCGATGTGAGGACAGCAGCAGAGCCAGGGACTGTAAGGTTCTCCGCGGCTGGTTCTGATGACAGGCCAGGGCCTGGAGCCAGAGCCAAGGACTCCTGGTGCCTCTGGAAGCTCGAGAGACGGGAAGTGACTCCCCCAGAGCCACCAGGAGCAACCAGCCCAGGCTACACCCTGACTTTGACCCCGTGGGACCCAGTTTAGGGTGCTGACCTCGAGAACTGCAGAGTAATAAATGTGTGTTGTTTTAAGCCACCAGGTTTGTGGATATGATAGTAAAAGGAACTAACGCCTCAGGGTCATTCACTTGGGGACAATGATGACACTAAATGGAGCACTTTCTCTGGGCCAGGCAGCTCAAACGTGCCTCTGTCCATCCGCTATCTACTTTCACCCTCCCAACAACCTGGGGGTGGATACTATTGCTCTTGCCTTCTTTCCAGAGGAGCAACACAGGCTCAGACAGGCCGAAGACCCTGTCCAAAGTCACAGGCTGGAACTCAGGTCGCTGGAGTCCACAGCCTGAGCATACGACAGCCATGCTGGCTGCTCCAAAACAGGCACCGTGAGTGCCACATACAATGGAGCAGAAGGACATATGTTTGATTCCAGAATCAAGGTTTATCCCTGGGATCCACACAGATGAAGGAAGGGCCAATTCCCAGGCCATAGGTACACTGGCTGGGATTTGTACAGACACAGTTCAGTGCATGTGGCATCTGCTAATATTTATGAGGACTAAGGGGTCTGGAATGTTGGGGAGAAACAAAAAAACCAACAAACCAACAGGGTTGGATTAAACAACAAAGACCAAAACTCCTTCCCAATATGGAATGTGCCTTTTTTGTTGGAAGATTTCTTGAACTCTGAGGACAGACCTCAGAGCTCTTCCCGGCAGACAGTATCTGGGTCGTTCTAGCTATGGCCTTCGCAGAAGCCCAGGCACCTTCCTCGTATTTTTAGAGCCACACTTCAAAGGCAAGAGGGGCGAGCGTGACAGCCCAGGTCCCCAAGAGGCAGGGGCAGCAGTGAACACAGCAGAGGCCCCCAAACTCAAGCAGGTGTGCCCACCAGGGCCGCAGGGGCCCCTGAGCCCTGCCCCAGCCGCTCCAGGAGAGGAGGGCTCTGACCTCTGTGGGAGGCCCCAGGTGGGCCAGGCGCTGCTGGTCTGTCCAGAATCTTCCTTGAGTTTTAATCACACACAACAGCTACTTGTTTGCCCCCCGTCTCCCAAAAGCCTGCACAAAACTCAGATTTATGAATTAAAAGAGTCTTGTCTTTACTCCTAATTGAAAGAGCATCTCCTTTGTTCCCAAACTGTAGTTGGAACTGAAAAAAGACAACAAAAAAATCCCATAACACCCAGAAGCTTCGGCCTTGGACTGCAATTTCAGTTTCATTAAAGGCTTTTTGAGTCCCTGGGAACTGAGTGTTAAGGTCATGGGGTGGGGGTGGGGATGGACAATATTTCATCACTGCTCTTAGCTGTGACTTGTGCGTGTTTTTTCAGACTTAAAACGAACACTGAAAAGGGGCAGGGCTGGTGAAATCCAGTATGGGGCGATGGAGTCCCAGAGACTGAATTCTACAGGCAGTAGAGCGGAGCATTTTTGGAAAGGTTTTAGGAAAACCACCAGCGTCCTTGGGACCCTGGTGGAGCCCGGCACTGGGCGTAGCACTTCATAATGATCCTCAAATCCTGTCCTGTGGCCACCCTGTGGCTCCCTTTGACAGGACACTAAGGTGCAGGGGAGGCGATGAGCTGGCTGGCAGCGCCTGGACCGGTTACCGCGCTGGTCACCACCCGGCCATACTGCCTCTAAGCTCATCAGCAGACTCCCCATCATGTCCTGAGAGTGGCACAGTCCTAAAAGAAGACATTTCTGGGACCTGCAGGCTCGGAGGGGAGAAGGAAAGCTGCAACCAGTCTGCTTTCGGTTGGCCAGCAAATGGCACTCCCCTGTCCTTGAAGCCTTTGACGGTGTCTGTTGCCCACCAGCCGACCAGCTGCTTCTCTGATAACCGCGCTGCAGATGGGAGAACTGCCAGACGCTGAGCCTGATAGGACGGATCACCCACAACCTGCAGCTGCAAGTGCCAAACGACCTTCTGACTGAGGCTGGTGACAGCCGGGAGCCCCTCCATTCCCCACCCTTGACACTTGGCCCAACCAAGCCTCACGATGCCCGCCTGTCCGCTCACCAGGACAGAGCGTAGCCGTCTCTGTGGAGGGCCCTGTTCTTTACAACCTCTACTGTGGCAAAAGGCCAACACAGAGACATGACAAGGAGCCAGGCTTCCAGCTACAGAATAGCCAGCATCTGCTGCAAGGCAGTGGGGGGGGACAAGATCCAGACACAGGGACAGTTTCCTGTTTGCTGGCATTACAGCTAGTCTTGAACTTCCCTGAGCCAGAATCTGACCTGGACAATTTTCTGCCTTTTATCTGGGCAGAAGGAAACATCTTTAACATTGTGAGCCATGCATTTTTCTTCCTAACCCTGGAGGAGACTAAAAACGCTAAAATAAAGGATTGTATGAAGAGGTGACTTGCAAGAAATGGAAACTTTTCAGACACTCATTTCTTCCTGAAATATTACCTCATTTAGGCACTGGCCAGGATGCATACAGCGTTATACATCCCCAGAGTCTGTACTTAGACAAAGTGCTTTCATATGTTTATTTGTGTGTGTGTGTGATGCCTCCTCCAATATTCGTAAAAGTATAAAAGGCTGTATTAGAAGGAGCAGGAAGGTTTGAAGAATGAACCCAAGATCTTGCTCACAAGTTGCTTACATTGTTTGGGGTGACACCTGTTTTCACTCATTTGATAAATAATATTCCTAATAAGCACTATATTGTCTTTACTTTGTACCAGTTCTGAGTAACTTGAAAATATTAATTCATATCATCCTCACAACAACCGTGTGAGATAGGCACTACTGTCATCCCCATTTAACAGAAGAGGATCCTGGGTGCTCAGAGAGGTTGAGTAACTTCGAGGCTCACACAGGCATTACCTGTGAAAGCTGGGACCCAAACCCGAGTCTGGTTCTAAGGCTTTCTTTGCTCTTAACAACTATGCTAGGTTCCTCACTTACTCATGAGAGTCTGCTCTGTGCGAGGCACTGCTCTGAGTGTGGGAGATACAGCAATGAACGCACCAGACAAAACCTCACCCTCAGGGAGCCTATGGTCTAGTGGGAGGGGAGAGACAATAAACAGAAAAGGAAACTGTCAGGGCTGCTAGATGTGACAAGTGCTATGGAGGACACCAAGGACGAGAGGCAGACAGGTAGAATGTACCAGATGCCAGGTACATTACCTTGTTTTCCACTCACGCTGTATGAAATGTGAATTGATATCCCATTTTACAGATGAAGCAACTGAGACAAAGAAGTGAGAGAAAATCTGATCAAGGCCACAGAGCTAGTGAGTAGAGACAGGAATACAGGGAGTCTGAGACCATACTCATCACCACTGTACACACACACACACACAACACCAGTCTCAGGGCCTAGACTGGAGATGGGCTGATGTGGCTGCCAGGACAGACAAGCAAGTCAGGAGAGCATTCCAGATGACGAATGCAGAAAAGATCCACACTCCTGGGGCTGAGAGGGGCCAATGGAGGCACCCAAGGCATCACCGGGGGTCAGGGAAGGCTTCCTGGAGGAAGGGCTGAGCCATGAAGAATCACCTGGAGGCAGCTGGGTGTGGAGGGTGCCAGACCCCTGAGGATCCCCAAACTGGGCTCAGGATTCAGAGACAAGATCTACTGCCTGTCTGATGGGGTAGCAGAAGGCAGGGAAGGAAGATTCTCTAGCTATAAGGGAGGCAAGGTAAGGACACGGGCCAAATCCCCACGGAACATTTGTTCGGGAAGGGCTGGCTAAATGAGCATTGTGCTCAGGCCTGCATGGGCTGATAGAATTGTCCCTTAAGCTCTTGTTGGGGTGTGCTATTTTTAGCCCTCTGAAAGATCAGCCCACAGGCTCAGAGGTCTTCAGCCTTGGGGTGAGGTGGCACCACTGGTGAGTGCTGGGGCGTGATGGTACCCAGGCAAAGGGGCTGAGGGGTGCAAAGCTTGAGGCACTGGTGGGGCAGGAGGCTGGGTTCTGTGTGTCCCAACCCAACCTGTTAGTCCCATTTCTCCATTAGACTGTTTATCTTTGAGGAGACACACTTAAAGAAAAAACAACTGTAATTATATATATATAAAAGTTAAGCCAATATTACCATTCTGAATGGAAAACAGTTTTCACTTACTATACAGAAAAGGCAACCAAAACGAAATAACACTATTTCTTGCTTGAATCTTGCCTGAAGTCTGCTATTTTGTAGATAAAAAGGGAGCAGCAGCAAGTGTTGGGAGCTGTTAGACAAGCAGCACCCACGGGAGCCTTCTCCTTGGCCCAGTGAGGAGGCTCTACCGCGACTTCGAAAGGGAGTAACTCTGGCGGCCAAGTCCTCGAGGGCGTTAATGCCCAGCGCGGGCCCCTCTACCCCGTCGTCGCCGGCCGCCTGCGCCTCGGGAGCCCGGGGCGCCCCGGGCTGGAGACTGACCTTGGGCCGATCGCTACACTTCCCAGGGTCTCAGTTTCTCCGGCTGCCAGCTGGGAGGATCGCTTCCCCGGCGTGTAGAGATTTGGGGTCTGGGGTCCCTGGAGGGGCTCGGTCTCGGGCCGCTGCGCGTGCAAAGCTCTCCTTTGGGGGAA